AGGAGGAGGAGGAGGAGACAGAAACCATACATCCATGCTGTCACATCAGAGGAAGGGTTAGATCGCCTCCATTTAATGCACAATTCCAGCAGACTTCAGCCAAAGGGACTTTAAAAACTGGCTGCATGGTGGCGCAGTGGTTAGCACTGTTGCCTCGCAGCACGAAGGTTGCAGGTTCGAAACTCGGCTGCGGCCTTTCTGCGTGGAGTTGCGTGTTCTCCCCATGGGTTTCCTCCGGGTACTCCGGTTTCCCCCACAGATCACAACATATCCTAGAAAACTGGGCACAAATTGTAAGTCGCTTTGGATAAAAGCGTCTGCTAAATGAATAAACAAACATAAACAAAAACCAAACAACGGTGTCACTTTTTTGCCAGATCAGGACATTCACAAATGTTTTCTGCTGGTTTGTGTGATTTATTTCTCTGACAATCCACAGGTGAAAATCAGCCTTTTATGACTAAATTTGGCACCTTTACAGCAAACGATGGATTCAAAATGATGCTGATTGTTGTGCATTGTCACTTTCAATGATTAAAAGAAATCAGAGTGTAAATTAACAAAGAGGGAGCAGTTAAGAGTGAATAAAAGCAGGAAGGGGCAGGGTTTTATCTTATTTTTAATCCGTGAGGAAACACTCTGATCCACGGATTCAAGGAGCCACATTTTGTTCATGAGATCTTATTTTTATCAAAAATACTTAAAATCTAAATCATAAAAGTAATTATTGATAACGTTCATGCAAATGGTGCAATTTAATAAGCAAATTTAAAACTTCAAATGTCTTACTTGATGAAGGTTAAATACTGTTGTTTCTTCAGAAGAACCAGAACATCATTACTGAAGAATCAAGCTTGATCACCACCTGCTCCAGCAGAACTTCAGCCCAGAAACCTTCTACACTTCCTGGACTTTGTGTCCAGATCTACTTCCTTTAAGCAGCTGAGCTGCAACTCAAAGCGAGGCAGCAAAACACGCGAGGAGAAGAAACGCAGCAGCCGCCTGAAGAGTAATGAGACCGCGGCCCTTCAGTCTTCAGTGGACGTTCTGTCGGCTGTTTTATATGTCAGAGGATAATGAAATCCTGCTGCTAAAGCTCCGCTGACCTTTGTTAAGTCACCTTGTATCCAGATGATATCCAGCTGTTTTCCTTCCACCAGCCAGCAGCATCCTCACCCTGCAACTTGAGGGTTAAATGTGAAGTTTTCTTAAAAAAAAAAATTTTTTTTTAAAGTCTGAAAAGAAAACATAGTATGTCACTTTATAAATGATCAAATCAATAAAAATGAGTAAAATCATTTATGTAGGGGGATTAAAATCTGTATTCAACAAACATGACGCTAAATTTAAGGATTCTTTTAATGAGTGTAAATATAGTTTTCATTTTCTGTTATGTAAAAAACATGCAAGTTTTTATGGTTGGGCTCAAAAAAATACTTATATTTAATTTAATGTTTATAAACAGCAGGAAAAAGACACATTGTGAATGATTTAAATTTTCTTTGGGATTTTTATCAACCTTTATTACTGCAAACATGATAATGTAGCCTGAGCCGATGAGAAAACATATTTATGATAAGTTCATAACCCAAATTTTTATTTCTTATTTTACTATAATTTTCAGTTTTTCTTTCCATTCAATAATACACATTTTCCTCATTGAGTATTATATTTATCAGTATTAGTTATTATTGTTGTTGTATATATCTGATAGCAAATTATTTAAGTTTAAAAATGTTGGGAAATGTTTCACAAAAAGGCACAATTTAGATTTTTGTTCGTCTTAAATTTTTTCACGTAATTATTGTAAATTTATGTGCAAAAAAACAAACAAATGAAATCTAAACACAAGCATAAACCCCACCCCTCTGCTAAAAACCCGTGACACATTTCTGCCACCTCTAGATCCGGCCCTGTGCACATCAGAGCAGAACTGGTTTGGCTCAGATTTTTGTTTCCGTCTGTCTTTTCTGAGCTTGAGTGAACAGCAGAAGCATCACTTACAGCGTGAGTTTATATGCTCTAAAGCTTCTTTGTCCCCCTGATGGATTCTTGGTAGAAACCAAACCACAACCAATCAAAACCTTCCTTCATCACATAATCCTGTGAAGAAGGATCCTCCTTTGGCTGTTTGCTGCTGCGTGTCCTCTCAGATTCAGAAAGCTCAAGAGGAAATCAGTTTTTTATCACCCTGAAAACATCTCTTCTTTTTCTCGATGTACGACAATTAAAGCAAACAGAGAAAAATACAAAAACATTCTTCTCCGAGTGTTTACTGTAAAATCCTCACCATTCAATTCAGTTTAACCATCAAGATTGAAACCAATTATTTATTTGTTTACTCAGATAATTCTTCAAGTCTTCGTGCTCCTGTGCTTCTTAACAATAATCATAACAGGGTATCCGGGGGTCCTTAAAAAGTCTTAAATTTGCTTTTCCAAATTGAAGGCCTTGAAAATCCTTAAAAATGACAAATAATCCTTAAATACAGTTTCCAAAGGTCTTAAATTACCAAAGACCCAATAAACAAGATTCTTTTATTTCTATAAGATTTTTGTGATTTTCTAGTTGGCGTTCAGCATTTGTTGTGTACGATGTTGCCGTAAGCGGAACCGTACACATGCAGTTGGTTGTGAAAGGGGACTATTTTTAGATGAGCACATTAGCTGGTCAAGCTAGTGGGAGCTTGCACCATGGGGAAGTGCAAGTTTAATGGTAACTGGATGGCTAATCCCACGTTCGCGACGTGGTTAGCACCGTTTCCAGGCAATAGCTGTAAATTATAGCCTAAATAAAACTTTTAAAATAGCTTAAAATTTGGTCAAAGTGGCCTTAAAAAGGTCTTAAAAAGTCTTAAATGTGGCTCCCTTAAACCCGCAGATAGCCTGCATTAGTATTTCTGCTATTTGTTTAATTATTTACTCCTTGGCTGACTGACTAAAAGTCTTATTTTGTTAAATGGACTAAAGTACGTAGAAGCCTTCCGTATTTCTGCGGGAACATGAGCTGGTGCACAGAGATGAAGTTTTTGCACAATAATTTCTTTTGTTTGGGTGTTTTGTGACTCGGCAAACATCTCTTTAAGGTGTGCTTGTGGGTTAGGATTTAGCCGTGTTGTGGGGGCTTAGTTTGTGTTAACATAAATCCATCACACTCCCTGGATCGGATGATTTTCTAGTTTCTGGGTCCGGTACAAAAATGTGAGTTTGTTATCAGGATCTGGGTCAATCCGTCATGTTTGCTGGATTTAGTCACGTTTTATAAACGGAGCTAACAAGTCTGTTTTTTAGTAACTTTAGTGCAGATTTGTGTGCCCAGATACCAGAAAACGACAATAAAATCAGCAAAACCGGACGATAGAAAAACTAATACTTACGTCTGTGTCTCCATTTTAATTCATTTGCTTCCCATCAGTAAAAACCTGAACGTAGATTTAAAAATGTCTGAAACCATCTCCCCTGTTCATGAGTGATGTGAGGGCCACAAATGGCCCACGAGCCACACCTTTAACCCCCAGGCTGTCGACTCTATATAACCTGACAAAATACAGAAAGACAATGATGTCATCATTAACCTCACACAGATTGTGTGTGTGTGTGTGTGTGTGTACTTGTCTTTATTTGCTTAAGTGGACACATTAACTTTGTCACATTGTGGGGACATCTGGCTGGTGCACACAATGGTGAAATACACTAAAACGTGGTTTTAGAGGTATGGTGTGAATTAACTTTTGGTTTAGATTAGGATTAGGAATAGAACCGCATTGGTTAAAGTCAGGGTTAGGCATAGTGGAGTCCCAAAAATGAATGGAAGTCAATGGAGGTTCCACACAAGGACACAGAGACGCGAGTGTGCGTGTACGGTTTGAGACGTCTCTTCCAGGAGAAGTGCTGCAACAGGAAACACTCAGGATTGTGGCCTTTTTGGTTGCGCTGTTGCCAAGACAACAGCAATTAGAAAATACTAGGTTACCAAGCTGAGAGCGGCTCCGTTTCTATAGCAACCAAGGTCAGGGAGAAGACTGCGAGTTTACCTGATTCTCAGGAATGAGACGGATACAGAAACATATTTGTCATTGCACTAAACAGGCAGTGTTCCGAACCCGTTCGCAGCAGGAAGTGGAGTCAGCCCGGGACACGATTCCAGACGGTTTTCCACAAGCGACCCGCTTACAGGGCTCACAACGTGCTTTGTGGTCGCGTCCACGTGGGCCTGACTGCTCCTGCTGGGTTCACTTCCCATAATTAGCTGATCATCACAGCTTGTTGTCACACACCAGCTTACACAAACACACCTTAATGACATCACACGGCCTCAATAAGCCCCGACCTGCAAAACCACTTCTACTCTACAAAACAGGCACTGATTTTATGTCTTGTTGTGTTTCTAAACACCTCGTTCTTCTGCTTTAACCCCGACACACACACACACACACACACACACACACACACACACACACACACACACACACACACACACACACACACCACTGCGGTGTGTAACCAGAGGCAGGAGGAACACTTAATCCCCCGGCACCTGCTTTCTGCCCAGCGTTGGCCGGTGCAGCTGCCCCGCCGGCTGCACCTTTTGCCCCGGTGTTTTTATAAATGCCTGCTTTTCCTGCGTATTTGCATATTTGCAGATTTGTTTGTATCCGAGCGTCATTAATATTACATTTGAACCAAGCAGATGGCCTTTGGTGTGGCGAGCAGATGGATGTAGCATAGAACAGCCGTGTTATGATCCTATACACTGCAGAACAGACTGTCGGCATCAGCGCTCGGTTTAAATACGAGGACACGTGCACCGTGTCCATCATCGTAACTCTCAGGGTGCACACACTCCTACAGGAAAAACCCTCCATCTAAGGGTCCGTTTAAAGAGACCTTCCGCTCGCAGTCCTGCTACACCTAGAAGACAATAAGCAATGCCGTTTGACGGCTTTATGAGATGAAGATCTGATCTAACTGCTAAAACTTTAAGAAATAAATTCATGTTGGTAAAAATGGCAAGAATTTTATTAGATTAGAATATTTACAGTCGGAAATAAACAAAAAAAAAAGTAAAAACCTAAAATTAAAGAGGGAGCTTTTGTTGGGCAGCTGGACGAGGAGCCACAGGACGGCCTCCTCTACCTGAATGTTCATGGCAGGAGAAAGAAAAACACCTCTGGCTCCTTCTAAGAGGTCCGTGAACCTGCAGCTCCCACCTCCGTGGCACATCAATCACTCTCTCCACATCTCCATTTACACTTATCCCATCCTCTCCTCCCTACGGCTCCCTCTTTGTTCTGCAGAGGAAGGGGGAATGGGGAGGGGAAATGAAAAAGGATGAATTGCTGCCTTCTTGAGGAGGAGGCGGGGCAGAGGTGGAGTGACCACAGCATGATGGAGGAGGAAGGGGGGGGGGTCTCTGTGACTGTCAGAAGGATGCGCTTGTTGTCTCGCTAGCAGCAGCGGTGCTCCTGATCATCACTCACACACGTGCCTCATGTGGAAGTTGACCACGTACTCCGCGTTGGTTCTCTGGACAGAGATGGCGAACGGTTCGAAGGGGTGGAAGGTGAAGGCGACCAAGCGGCGCACGGCGTGGTTCACGGGCCGGCCCAACAGACCCGCCTGGATCTTAAACTTCAGCAGACCCGAGTCACGAGCGTAAAACCTGATGGAGGAAGGAGGGCAGCTTCATCAGACCCAAACATCACGGTCGAAGCCATCTTTCATCCATTTTTACCCGAAATGCATCTGATGCTGCGATGAGAAGGACTTAGCTTCAACATGAATCCCTGAGTTAATGCAGCAGCAGATGTTTCTCTGCAGCATTTGTTGCTCTTCACACACTGAAGGCAACCAATAAACTAATTGTTTTGTCAAAAAATGAATATTTGCCATCGACTCTGAAACTAATCCCGGAAAAACCTCATCCAGTCATTGAGAACGGGACGATCCTCATCCATCCATCAAACTGTCCTGTGACCCCCCCCATCACACCTTCTCAGCAGAGCAGCTGAACAGGAAGTGAAATGTGAAGTCACATGACCGGTCTGACGCTGTCGGGCGGATTACCTGATGGGATGGTCTCCGCAGGTCTTGGGTCTCTCCATCGCTGACACCCACTTGTCGTCGTAGCTGAAGAGCGACAGGTCGAGGTAGGGGCTGCTGCTGTATGACTGGGCGCTGATGGGTAGCTGTCCCAGCAGGCGGCGCACCGCTTCTGTGTGGCCGCCATATTTGGCGTTCACTATGGTGTCCTTAAACCTGAGGCATCAAAAAGCTGCATCAGCAGAAAGCTTCAGAGCACAGATGAAGTGAACTTGTAAAGTCTGCTTTGCTAGGCTAATTAGCTGCGTGCTAATTAAAGATTGGTGTTCCGGATGATGTAACAAGAAAAGACATCTTGATGTGTCATCGTGTTTTTCTATATTTTGTGTCATTGATCATAATTTACATTCACACAGACTAAACTCACGAGGATGAAGGTCCACCTAACACCCGGATATTCATTCTAATTTTAACCAAAGTGTTTTTTTTTTCTTTTCATACATTTAGATTTTTCCCAGAGCGACTCCTCCAGCACTCAGTTGCCTCACTTTCTCTCTTTGCGTCTTTTTCATTTTTCCAAACCTGTTTTTTGATGTCTTCTCACAAATTTTCATACCATAAGATCTCCAGTCGCCAATTCCGGGTCGGGGGAGAGGTCCTACCTCAAGTGGAGGAGTTTAAGTATCTCGGGGTCTTGTTCACGAGTGAGGGTGGGAGGGATCGGGAGATCGACAGGCGGATTGGTTCGGCGTCTGCAGTGATGCGGACGCTGAGCCGATCTGTCGTGGTGAAGAGGGAGCTGAGCCAGAAAGCCAGGCTCTCGATTTACCGGTGGATCTACGTCCCAATCCTCACCTATGGTCATGAGCTTTGGGTAATGACCGAAAGAACGAGATCGCGGATACAAGCGGCCGAAATGAGTTTCCTCCGTAGGGTGGCCGGGCTCAGCCTTAGAGATAGGGTGAGGAGCTCGGACATTCGGGAGGGGCTCGGAGTAGAACCGCTGCTCCTCCGGATTGAAAGGAGCCAGTTGAGGTGGTTTGGGCATCTGGTCAGGATGCCTCCTGGACGCCTCCCTGGGGAGGTGTTTCGGGCATGTCCTGCCGGCAGGAGGCCCCCGGGTCGACCCAGGACACGTTGGAGAGGTTACATCTCCAATCTGGTCCGGGAACGCCTTGGGGTCCTGCCGGAGGAGCTGGTGGAGGTGGCCGGGGAGAGGACGGTCTGGAGCTCCCTAGATGGGATGCTGCCCCCGCGACCCGGACCCGGATAAGCGGAGGAAGACGACGACGACGAAGATCTCCAGTCTTAATTCTTGATGTCCTCCTTCAGCTGGACTAAAACCTCCTGAACTCACTGATACAGATCCAACATGGCGAACCTGCTCATCAGCTTTCAATACCTTCTCTCTTCCTCTCTGACATCAATTTTCGCCCCTCTAAAATCCAATTCTACACTCGTCCTTGTTCAAACCACTCTCTCCCCTTCCACACCCAAACGGGTGAGTCGAACCACCAAATTCAATCAGAGCTCTCTTAGCCACATTGAACATCATGGCGTCTCTTCAGCATCCAGAATAAAACTCCTCCGGGCGCTTCCCGCTGCTCAGAGGCTTTGAGTCCGCTTTAAGTGTTGAGCTGCAAACTGCTGGCTTCTTACAAACGAGCTGTAACAGGTTACCTTCTTTGGACCTGTCTCGCGTAGTTGTTGGATGAAGCGGAGCACGGGAATTGGACCGCCTGGCTGTGGAGCGTGGCGTTCCGGAGAAGGTCGCAGAAGTTCTCAAACAGCTCCAGCAGCTGGTCGGAGGTGTTCTCAAAAACGGCCAGCACCTCCGTGGACACCATGTTGTACACAACGAAGAACGAGGGCTGAGGGAGGAGCAGAGGTTCAAAAGTTTGATTCAAAAGGAAATAACGGATTTCCCAACTTGTAGGAATTTTCTTCTTTAAAAAGAAAAATTATGTGCAAAAATACAACCTGCATAATAATATCCTGTCTGTTTTCAGTCTGTTTTCAGGATAAAAGTAAAACAGACATGATGTGTCTGAAAAACAAAAAGCCAGACGGTGGAAACCAGGGAAGCTCCACAAGAGAGCAGACTGGGAGGAATGTGTGTGTGTGTGTGTGTGTGTGTGTGTGTGTGTGTGTGTGTGTGTGTGTGTGTGTGTGTGTGTGTGTGTGTGTGTGTGTGTGTGTGTGTGTGTGTGTGTGTGTGTGTGTGTGTGTGTGTCAGGGTCCCCGTATGCATGTTTGTGGGTCTGTGTCCCCCCTTTGTGTGTGTGTGTGTGTGTGTGTGTGTGTGTGTGTGTGTGTGTGTGTGTGTGTGTGTCAGGGTCTCCGTATGCATGTTTGTGGGTCTGTGTCCCCCCTTTGTATGTGTGTGTGTGTGTGTGTGTGTGTGTGTGTGTGTCAGGGTCTCCATATGCATGTTTGTGGGTCTGTGTCCCCCCCTTTGTGTGTGTGTGTGTGTGTGTGTGTGTGTGTGTGTGTGTGTGTGTGTGTGTCAGGGTCTCCGTATGCATGTTTGTGGGTCTGTGTCCCCCCTTTGTATGTGTGTGTGTGTGTGTGTGTGTGTGTGTCAGGGTCTCCATATGCATGTTTGTGGGTCTGTGTCCCCCCCCCTTTGTGTGTGCGTGCGTGTGTGTGTGTGTCAGGGTCCCCGTATGCATGTTTTTGGGTCTGTGTCCTCCCTTTGTATGTGTGTGTGTGTGTGTGTTCTTGTACATACTACATACTGAGGACCATTTTGACCATTTTCCCTACAAAGTGAGGACATTTTTTTGGTCCTCCCTTTTTTTAGAAGCTTACTATACCAGTTAGAGGTCTGGTGTGGATTAAGTTTTAGTTATGGTTAGGGTTAAGAATAGATCAGCGTTTGGTCATGTTTAGGGTTGGGGTATGGGTTAGGCATGGTGGAGTCACAAAAATGAATGGTGAAGGTTCGTGACAGGCACTAGGCGCAGGGAGCATATCACCCCCGTGTTGGCATCCCTTCATTGGCTGCCTGTACAACACAGGGCAAAATTCAAGGTCTTGGTACCGGCATACAGGGCCTTACAAGGAGCTGCTCCAGCATACCGTGGCAACCTTTTGCATAGGCATGCCCTCGTGGGCCCTTCGCTCAGCCGGCAGGGAGCTGTTGATCGTTCCACGCACTAAGTGCAGGTCATGGGGGACCGTGTGTTCTCTGTGTTGGCACCTGCACTTTGGAACCAGTTGCCTTTGGTGGTGCGTCAGTCGCCCTCATTGGGGTTTTTTAAGACTCGCCTTAAGACCCATTTTTTTGTCAAGGCATTCCAGGATTAGCAAATTTTACCTGGTTTCAATGCCCCGGCCTCTTAATCTTTTTCAGGATTTTATTTTTTGCTTTTACTCTCCTCTTTTAATTGATTTTATGTTGGTTTCACGATTGTTATATTTTATTCTGATGGTTTTATGTTTTTATCGTGTTGTGTTCAGCACCTTGGGCGTCTGCATTGGTCGCAGAAGGGGCTTTATAAATAATTAAATTAAATTCAATTCAATTTTATTTATAAAGCGCCAAATCACGACAAGAGTCGTCTCAAGGCACTTCACATAATAAACATTCCAATTCACAGTTCATTAAGCCAATCAGAAATAATGTTTCCTATATAAGGAACCCAGTAAATTGCATCGAGTCACTGACTAGTGTCAGTGACTATACAGCAATCCTCATACTAAGCAAGCATGCAGCGACAGTGGAGAGGAAAACTCCCTTTTAACAGGAAGAAACCTCCAGAGGATCCTGGCTCAGTATAAGCAGCCATCCTCCACGACTGAATAAATGAAATGAATGAAAGTCAAAGAAGGGTCCTCACTATGATAGAAAGACAGACATGTGTGTGTGTGTGTCAGGGTCCCTGTATGCATGTTTGTGGGTCTGTGTCCCCTTTCTGTGAGTGTGTGTGTTCTCCAACCTGTGACGGGTCCGTGACTCGGAGCGTGACCACATCCTCGCTGGTGTATTTGATGAAGAGGTGATGCTCGTCCAACAGCTGCATCTTCCACATCCTCAGCTTCCTGAGCTGATCAAAACACTGGAAAAACCTGACGTGAATGAAAATCAGAATAAAATCAAAGTGTTTCCTATCAATGCTCTCGTTGTTCACTCATAAAGCTCTCCGATAAGATGAGACGGTGGAATAACTAACAAAATGATGCTTTTTTTCTCCCTGACCTTCCTTGCGTACGTTACCCAGAGTCCTGACTGAATATCCATGAAATATTCCAAATGGATAATTGGAATACCTCCTTTTTGCCGTGGCGCTGCCGTCCTGCTCGACTCTCCTCCACAGGTACACCAGCAGCCTGTGCTTCAGGGAGTTGATGACTTTGTCGGTGTAGAGACGTGGAAGTCCAGGCTGGATTTCAGCCTGAGTTTCTGTGTAAACAGCTGAGAGGGTCAGGAGGTCGTCCTCGTAACAGAACCGACCGATTGTCCTTACGTCCAGAAACGTTCCATCTGGAGTCACCTGTGAGAAGCGGCAGGAAAAGGAAACGAGGAATTGATTTATTAAGATCAGGCTGGTAATTTAATGAAGAAGATCTTTTCTATAGCGGCCTCTCAAGATGAAAATCACGAGGTGCTTCACAAAAACAAAATATTAAAACATAAAAAAGATTTCTAAATAAAAAGAATATATGTTTAAAATGAGAAAAAATAAAAATTTGTGATAAGAAAGTTTAGGAAAGGGAGAAAGAAAATTAATAGGAAGGAGGGAAATCCGTAGAAAGAGCAGAACAAGGTGAGGGTGGTGAAGGTCCCGACAAAGCCTGAACAAGTGAGTCTTCAGCTGCTTTTTAAAGGAGACCACTGAGTCCACTGATCTCAGGCTCAGGGGGAGAGAGGTCCAGAGTCTGGGGGCCACAGCAGCAGATGATCTGTCACCTTTGACCTTTAGCCTGGTGCTGCACAACCAGTAGGCTTTGATCACTGGACCTCAGGGACCTGCTGGGGGTGTAGGGACTAAGAAGATCACAATGTAAGATGGTGCTTGTCCATGTAAGGCCCTATAGACCAGAACCAGGATCTAGAAATGAACCCTGAAGTTGACTGGCAGCCAGTGAAGCTGGAGGAGAAGCGGGGTGATGTGGGTGTGTTTGGAGGACTTGGTCAGAAGCCGAGCACAGGCATTCTGAACCACCTGTAGACGGTTCAGGGAGGTTCTGCTCAGACACGTGAAAAGAGAGTTACAGTAGTCTAAGCGTGAGGAGATGAAGGTGTGGAGAACTGCCTCAAGTTCAGAGCGAGACAGAATGGGACTCAGCTTAGCAACGTTCCTGAGATGGAAGAAGGAAGAGCGAACAAGAGAACTGACATGAGAATCCAGGGTGAGAGCTGGGTCAAAGGTCACACCAAGATTCCTGAAAGAAGGTTTGGTGTGAGAAGCAAGCTGACCAAGAGAGTCTCTGACTTTGGGAACCAGCTTGTCTGGGGCACAGATGAGGATCTCAGTCTTATCTTCATTCAGCTGAAGAAAGCTCCCACCATCCAGGTTGTGATAGAGTCTAAGCAGGTGTGTAACAGCTGCAGCTTAGACATCTCATGGGGCTTAAAGGAGATGTACAGTTGGATGTCATCTGCATAAAGATGGTAGGAGATTCCTTTGAAGGAGCTCAGGATGTGCTGAAGAGGAAGCAGATAGAGGAGGAAGAGCAGAGGCCCCAGCACAGAACCTTGTGGGACACCATGGGTAAGAGAGGTGGTGGAGGACCTAAACTTGGAGACGGCCACAGAAAAGGAGCGCTCAGAAAGATAAGAGGAGAACCACTCCAGAGCAGATCCTGATAGGCCGACCCAGTCCCTCAGCCTCTCCAGTAGCAGGTGATGGTCAACAGTGTCAAAGGCTGCAGTCAGGTCCAGCAGGACCAGAACAAAACAGTCCCCTCATCACTGTGAGTCAGAAGGTCATTAGATACCCTAAGAAGAACTGTTTCAGTAGAATGAGCTCTACGAAAACCTGACTGGAAGCTATCATAGAAGCTATGTTCATCAAGAGCAGCTGTGAGTTGTTTAGCCACAACCTTTTCCAAGATCTTGGAGATGAACAGAAGTTTAGAGATGGGTCTGAAGCTGCTATGGAGAGAGGGGTCGAGACTCGGTTTTTTAAGAAACGGGTGGATTACAGTGTTCTTAAAGTAAGCAGGGACCTGACCAGAGACCAGAGAAGCATTAATTATAGAGAGCACGCTGGGACCGATGGACTGAAAAGCACTTTTAAACAAAGACGAGGGTAAGATGTGGAGGGGGCATGCAGAGGTCTTCATAGAGTTAACTAGTTTGGTTAACTCAGGTAAAGAAACAGGAGCAAAGCTATCTAGGATGATGGGCCTGGTTGGAGTCGGGAGAGGCGGCGATAAGGCTGAAGGAGAGATGCTAGATCTAACCTTATTGACTTTGTCCACAAAGAAAGACAGAAAGTTCTCACAGTCTGCAACAGAGTGGATGGAGGCTGTAGGAGAGGCAGGAGAGACGATGCTGCTGATGGTGTTAGACAGCACCTTGGGGTTCCCTTTGCTCTGGGACACCAGGTTGGAGAAATAGACAACCCTAGCGTCTCTGACTGCAGAGTTAAAGGATGTCAGAAGATCCTTTAGGTGCAGCAGATGGACGTGGAGATGGGTTTTCTTCCACAAGTGCTCAACTTTTCTGCACTGGCGCTTCAGGCTGCGAATGCTGTCGTTGAACGAAGGAGTAGGGTTCACCGAACAAAGACCGGCAGAAGCGCAGCTTTTATCTTCTCACATGACAACAACCTCCACTACAGAGTGCATGGTGGAGGTGAGCTCACCTGGAACACGTGGATGGTCTGCTGCTGCACCGACAGCACAGCCAGGATGTTCCTGTACAGGTAGAGCCCCTGGTTGTGAGACAAGATGATTTTGTCACATTTAAAAGATCTGGTGTCACACAGCCTGCCGGTGTGGAGGTCGATGATGTGCAGAGAGTAGTCCTCTAGAGGAGACCGAGGGTTGGGGGTCACTGATTCGTTGTTGCGATACACCTGGTGGGAGAACAAACGTGGGAACGAGAAGCAGGCGAACAGATTTCCACCAATAAGAAACTAGGAATCCTACCTCAAAGAAGTACGGTTGTGGTTCTTCAGGGACGTAAACCGCCGACCCGACGATGACGTAGCGGCAGTCGTCTGTAAACAGGCTACACTCCCGGTTCAGGTGTTCTCCATTTGAGGCCACATTAGTGACATGAAGTAACGAGAAGAAGCGCTCGAACAAGCGGCCTCGGATGTTGAGGGAGCGCTGGTCGTTGGCGGTTGAAAGTGTTTCTCCTTCTTGACCTCTGAGAAGGTCCTGAGCAGCCTGGCAGCCTTGGTATTCATAGATCTACAGAAGCATTTAGATGCTCTTACTTGGGTTCTGGTTTCAGGTAAACTTAATAAACAAAGGGAATCTGTCAATGATGAGACAAAAATGTGTTTCGTGATGGTGTGAGAATGAAACCTCTAGGGACGTCTGGTCAGACGAGAAGGCGATGAAGTAGCGCCCGTCTGGTGAGAACTTCCTGAGGAAACACGGCGGCTTCTCAACGTTGACCACGGTGAAGTTAGGGAATAGGTTCTGGTGAAAGCAGCGGACTCGGTACCAGTGAGATCCGGGTCGACCGGAGCAGATCCGCCGCTTCTCCAGACGATGGACCACGTTCTGATTCTGGATGTGCCTGGGCTTTAAAGTTGGGGTGTCCTCCATCGCAGACATTAAGGGATGGCTTCAAACGTCCATCTGTAGATAAACCGGGGGGGTCATCACATTACCTGTGAGAGGGTAGAGCTCAAGATGTTGCAGCATCTGATGTTTGGGTTTTTTTATGACATGTTGTCACGACAATTTAAAGAGAAAAATGTTTTATTTCACGTGATTTTAGCCAAAATACAATATTTCATAATATAACAAATTAAAATGTGTCAAACTGTGAAGGAGGCTCTGAAAGCAGAACAGCTGATCAGAATCTTTCAGCGTAGTTTTCACGCCAGCATCAGCACAGATGATCTGCTCTGTGATATATCTCAATACCGAGACGTTTACAGCTCTTCTTTTTAATTTAGAGCCTAAAACAGAGCCTTCTGACCGAATCCCAGCAAACAAAAGTCTCATTTAGGAGTTATGTTCCGTTAAACAGCTGTTCAAGTTGGATAACTCACCGTCCGCTCCTCGGCTTTCTTCTCTCATCAAACGTAAACGTTCAGCATCATTTAGCCTCTAACGTCAAACTGTAACTAAACAAAAATCGGGTTTATTAACATTTTCCAGGCTGTTTTTGCGCTTTTGGATGCGCTTTCGGTTTGTTGTTGAGAAAGCTGAAAAAGAAAGCGAAAAAGAACCGAGCAGAGCGCTGCAGCGCCACCTCCGTTAGTGGCGAAATATGAAACTGCAGTCTCTAGCTAAGAGGGCTCAAACGGAAGCAGTGATGCGTCAGCAGATCCGCCATATTGGAAGTGGAGACGTCAGCTGATGAAAGCGTTCAAATAAAGGAAGGAGGGGTAGTTTCAGAAGGATTGATAGCATTTTACATTTCATTGTGACTTTTAATTGAGTTTAGTTATATTTGTAGAGAAGAAAAGCTCCATAGGTAACCGAAAAATGCTGAAAATAAAAGCTTTTGGGCTAATGAAAATAGATAGAAATTTGTTCACATCATGAAATTATAAAATAATGAGAAGTAATTTTGCTTATTTACATTGTTAATTACAATACGTACTATATATTATTTGGTCTTATGTAATATTTTCACACTAGTCTTATAGGGTCCAGATGGAGCATCAGGATTAGTACCTTCCTCAGGAACCTGCCATATCCAGGCCAAAACATGTCTACTGCCCCCTGGTGGAAGATTTACAGGTGGTAAGGGCCAATTTAATTTCTTAAAACTGTTATATTGTTTTAGAATGACACAATCATTATTCTGTTATGTTAATATTTGACAATAAATAGTTCAGTCTTTAAAATTGTAGGTTTAATAATAATTTAATGTTTCAGGCTTTAGTGGGTTTTTATCAACATGTCCCATAGAAAGCATCATTACTATGCCAGAATTAATAAAATTCACAACATATGAACATTTAACTACTAGTAGATTATATGTAAACGAGGAGAAACTATTTGTTTGTATTTAATATAAATTGTTTTATATGTATATTTGTACAGAAATCTGACATTTAACACCCAAATTCCACCCCCTGCTGAAATCTCTTGCCACACCTTTTTCCACCTCTGCGCACAGACCTGCTGTAAATAAGGTCAAAGTAAAACAGAACACAGCCAGCAGATACCTGCATTGACAATAAAATATGACCAAAATTAGTTTTCTCTATTATTCTAAACTAATATATTCCAAATATCCAGGGATGCTTGTGCACCATTTTACTGAACTCAAGTGGGTAATTGCAGTGGGATTCATTTTGAGGAAAGCCTCATTGTGGCCAAAATTTGGGGCAAACGTACACCTGCTGTTCTCACTGAGGTGCCAATTTACTGATCAGTGGGTGGGTTAGCAGGTGAGACGCACAAGTGCCCCGGAAAACTTTGAATATGATTATAATTGCTTTGACTAAACAGCCAGGAAAGAATAAAAAAAACAACCAAAAACAACAACATTAGCCGACCTTCGGCTCCTGTACCTACAGTGTGTATGACAGCCTCGTTTGTTTGGCGTAATTTGTTTAATTGATTTGTTTATAACAGCATGCAGCATATGTGAACCCAAGGTGACCTGCATTTTGCTCCCCATAATGGCAGATAATGAAATTATGATTATCCTCTTTGTGTGAAGCATGTTCTCACAGACGGAGAACAGCATTGTAAAGAGAAAAGGGAAAATGCTCAGGGTACACTGGTCTTGGAAGACTGCTAATGGTGCTTTGTGCAATTATCTCTGACCAAAGAGTCTCGATTAAATGTTGTAATTTTCCATAAAAGCACATGTATCGGGCATAAAAGGGTAGCTTGAAAAGAAAAATGAAGAAATGAATAGAGAGAAGAATATAAAATTACCCACTTTAAATCTAATGGCATTTTCCTTTTCAGCCACGGCTGATTAAACCTTTGCTGTTAGACGCGGTCGTGTGTGTCTTTTTTTAAGGTTCGTGTTCACGACTGCACATGTTTAAGCAGTGCTGGTGATCATGTGCACAGGCACGAGTGTGTGTGCTGCAGCAGGAACCCACACAGGAGTCATTCAGAGTAGAAACTATGCACTATCCCCAGGTTGTTCTTGTTATTTTCCTCTAATAAAGCGCTCACCACGCTGGACGCTCGCCTCAGCTTTTAGCATCAGCCCGTGAAGTAGAGAAGAGACTTACACCTGAGTGTTTTACAGTCTTCTTCCAGAAGACGCAGTCCTTATCTAAGATCTTTTTTTTCATCCCTCTGAGCTTTTTACAGCCCAAAATGCACGCTGCCTATTCCTCCTGCCCTGCTCACATCCCTTTTGCAGGTGAAACACATTTTGCTGTTGACTGCATGCTCTCAGCCCTGCCACCCTTCACCAAAATGGAGATGCTGGAAAACTTTAAATTGTCCGCTTTCAAAAGTCAGAAGAAAAGAACGCTACAGAGGAAAAGCCGGAAGGCTGTGTAGGGGAAAAAGGGCATTTGGGGACGGTAAATAATAGTGTTGGATGTAGAGCAAAGTCTGTGATTGCCTTTATTATCGTCATTATTGCAAAGAGAATTTTTTAAAAGAGCATTTGCATTAAAGGACATCTGGATGCAGGGTATAGGGTGAATCTACATGCTTGCTGAAGCTCCTATACAAAAGGCACTTAGAAAAGGTTATTCAAAGCTTGGGGAGCAAACAGAAATCCATGGTTTTACCGTTTCCCCCCATCTTTCCATCTCAGACAGTTGTGTCTGGCATTTAACAAAAGCTTTTAACTTTTCCATCCAGCGTAATTTCAGAGCGCAATAGGACATTTTAGGACTGCAACTTCCCGGTCCGTATGCACCTGAACTTTTCATTCTTCTGTGACAGTCGATGATTTTTGCTTTTTTCTGAGAAATTACTGTGATCACAAATGTATTACGGCCATCTGGTCGCCTGCAGCTTCCTCAGCGCTGCAGGTCTGTGGAGAAAGTGAAAGAAGAGATAAGGGACAAGATGTTTCCTTCATCAGCATCACGAACATAGCACAACTAGCAGAGCCTCAGCAGGCCAGAAGGATCACAGAGAGCTTAAGAATGACTCCCGTAACTATCATTTCTTCCCTTTTAAATATCTGAATGAGTTTCTGATAAACCAGGTCATCACGTTGAGAATAAAGTCTGTTTAATGCTGCAGCTGAACAGTAAATAAAACAAAAAGTGGACACATGCCAACATTGTAGGAGAAAACAAACAGGGATGTGTACTTTTGAAATTCTTGCGATACGATACATATCACGATACAGGGGAGACGATACGATAAATCACGATATATTGCGATACATTCAGTCAGATGTCACAAGCAATTTTTTTTACTGAATTTATTGTAAGAATGTTCAATAAACAGTCCAAACTGATACGTAACATGTTTAACATGAGGTATCTGAACCATGATGGAGGGATTTACATTTCAATGGTGGAAACAAAACCCGTTGCACACTGCTGCCAACTAACGGGTGGCGACTGAATTGCACAAAACGAAAAGAAAATACACAAATGTTTGCATGTAAATTCTTTCAAGAATTAGATACACAGCTTTTGAGTATCGATGTAATAATCACAGGAAAAAATATCACGATACATTGCCATATCGATATTTCCGATACACGGCTTTTGAATATAGATATAATATTGCTGGAAAAGATATCACAATACATTGCCATATCGATATTTCCGATACACGGCTTTTGAATATCGATATAATATTGCTGGAAAAAATATCACAATACATTGCCATATCGATATTTCCGATACATGGCTTTTGAATATTGATATAATATTGCTGGAAAAAAATCACAATGTATTGCCATATCGATATTTCCGATACACGGCTTTTGAATATCGATATAATGTTGCTGGAAAAAATATCACAATACATTGCCATATCGATATTTCCGATACACGGCTTTTGAATATTGATATAATATTGCTGGAAAAGATATCACAATACATTGCCATATCGATATTTCCGATACACGGCTTTTGAATATCGATATAATATTGCTGGAAAAAATATCACAATACATTGCCATATTGATATTTCCGATACACGGCTTTTGAATATTGATATAATATTGCTGGAAAAAATCACAATATATTGCCATATCGATATTTTCTTACATCCCTAAAAACAACTATTTGCATGAACATCAGTTGTTTGACAAATATCTTAAAAGGGTATTTTTACCCAGATAAATGCAAACATGTTGGGGGGGGGGGGGGGGGGGGTAGTTATTACAAGTATCACAAACAGGAGGGAGTGTAAATGGCTCGTGTTTTTACTCTAGAGTCACTTTTTGGAAAAACAGCAGAGCTTTTATCTGCGGGTGGTCAAACACGTCCCACTCCTCAAATCTGTCTTCCACCGGAAAATAGATCACCGAAACGTCCAGGGAGCGTCAGAAGCAGCACGGGAGAAGTTTTGAAGAGTGTGTTTTACCTTCCTGCAAAACGGTTTCACCTCCTTTCTAAAATGTGTTGATTTGCTAAAATATTTATTATGTTTTAAAAATTAAAGTTAATCTTTTCTGCAGCTCCCGTGTTTTCAACCCAAACGATCTGAAACCGCACGTGAAAATTTCCTCTGCAACGTTCTCGCCGACTCATTATCTAAACCTGGTGAGAGACGCCCTGGACAGGTGTCCAGTCCTCACAGGGACTGTCAGAGACACACACACACTCCCAGTTAGAGTCTTCAGCAGACACGGTTTGGTCTGAGGGAGGAAACCAGAGAAAACCCACACATGCCTGAGGAGAACACGCTAACTCCATGCAACCAGGATTTGTACCTGCAACCGCCTTCCTTCACCCACTGCTCCATCATACAGCCCATCATCCTGAACCAAATCATATCGTGTCTTGTTGCTTTAGAGCATGTTATTGTTGCGTTATATCGTCAGAAACTTTAATAATATCGTAAATCAAGTGTAGCGCCAGTGCCCTATACACTGGCACTCCCTGGTAGCTGTTGCGGGTGGTCTTTACGTGTGCTTAACGAAATGCAGCTTGAGTTTATTTCCGATGTTGTTTATTATGTTGTCTTGTTCCAAAATGTCCAGGATCCATTTACAGCAGTTAAATTGGGTTTCAGTGAATGCGTTACTTGCCCCAATGACAGTCCGCAGAGTCCATTACATACAGCCACAGTCCTTGCCACACAGTAAAAAACTGTTTGTCCCATCCAGCCACACCTGAGTCCAATCTGTGTTGGCTTAAGTAGGCTGG